AGCGGCTGCGCCTGCAAGTGAGGCCAGATGTCAGCACCACTCCTGGGGACCTGAATCCCCTGGAACCCCTCCCCAGAGACCTGGATCCCCTGGAGCCACTCCCATTCAAGCCCCATCCACCTCCTCTTCACCTTCTCCTTCTTCAGGGCATTTTCCTCCTCTTCCTCTGCTTTCCGTGCCTCCCGATCCTTGCGAGACTTGGAGTCCTTCCCCCTGCCCGGGGACAAACTTCCAAGGAAAACAGCACCAGGAATAAGCCACCAAGCACAGCCCTGGGGGATCCCCAACCTCCATGGGGTTTAGGGGAGAGCAGGAACCCCTCAAAAAAGGGACAGGGCCCACCTGGACCGCTTGCGGTCCTTGTCCCGCCGGTGCCCATCCTTGTCCCGGTCCCGCTCCTTCTTGCTGCGGTCCCGGTCCCGCTCCTTGTGCCGCCGATCCCTGTGGGACAGGGGGGTCACAGCCCCACGGGGGGGGTCACAGCGCGGCCCCACAGCCCTCACCCACCCCCTGTGGGGCCCTGCAGTGCTTTTGGTTCGCCAGTTTTGAGATTTCCTGGCCAGGGCAGCAGTGAGGGTGGTGGGCTCAGTGCTGCTCAATCCCCACTGCACTCAATTCCTGCTGTGAGGAAGGGCTAGGAGGAAGGCAGAGCAGGCTCAAAACTTTAAAAGTGAGCCTCTTTATACCCTCTTTAAAATAAATAAACGCTGTTAATACATTTTTCTTTATACCCTCTTTAAAATAAATAAGCACTGTTAATAATTTTTTCTTTATATCCTCTTTAAAATAAATAAACCCTGTTAATAAATTTTTCTTTATACCCTCTTTAAAATAAATAAGCACTGTTAATAATTTTTTCTTTATATCCTCTTTAAAATAAATAAACCCTGTTAATAAATTTTTCTTTATACCCTCTTTAAAATAAATAAAAACACTGTTAATAAATTTTTCTTTATGTTCTCTTTAAAAGGGTATAAAGAAAAACTTATTAACGGTAACTAAAATAAAAAGTAGTAAGAATCAGAACAAAACCTTCACAACATTTCTCCTCCCACAACCTTTTCTTTCCCTTCAAAGCTCTTCCCAAACCGCAGGGAGCCCCGGAGCTGCCTCACCTCTCGGTGGATTTGGAGCGGGATCGGGACCGGGAGCGGCTCCGCCTCCGCTCCCGGGACCGGTGGCGCTTCCGCTCCTTGGCCGGGGGGGAGCCCTTGCGGTCCCGCTCCCGCTCCCGGTCCCGCTCCGGGGAGCGGGAACGCTTCCTCTCCTCCTTCACCGGGGACGCATCCCGATCCTTCTTGTCGGCCACTTCTCCGGCCATCTGTGGGGAGGGGGACACCGGGAGGGTCGCGGGGGGCACCGGGAGGGAACTTGGGGTGCACGGGGGGGGAGCCAGGAGGGAGAGAGAAGGGTTGTGAGATGCAGGGGGGGCACAGAGGGACCCCAAGAAGGAGCGGGGAGGTGCAAGAGACCACCAGGAGGAAATGGGGAGAGGCCAAAGGAGCCGGGGAGGGAACAGGGAGATGCAGGAAAGAAGCAGGGAGAGGTGGGGAACCGCGGGATGAGCGAAAAGGGACCCTCGGGAGGGAGAGGGGAACGCGGGGAGAGCGAAAAGAGACCCTCGGGAGGGAGAGGGGAATGCGGGGAGAGCAAAAAGGGACCCTCAGGAGGGAGAGGGGACCCGGGGTGAGAGAAAAGAGACCCTCAGGAGGGAGAGGGGAACCCGGGGAGAGCGAAAACGGACCCCTAGGAGGGAGAGTGGAACCCAGGAGAGGGAAAAGAGACCCTCAGGAGGGAGAGGGGAACCCGGGGAGAGCGAAAACGGACCCCTAGGAGGGAGAGTGGAACCCAGGAGAGGGAAAAGAGACCCTCAGGAGGGAGAGGGGAATGCGGGGAGAGCAAAAAGGGACCCTCAGGAAGGAGTGGAGACCCTCAGGAGAGAGAGGGAACCCAGGACGAGCGCAAAGGGACCCTTGAAAGGGACAGGGGACCCCGGGATGAGCGAAAAGGGACCTGTAGGAGGGAGAGGGGAACCCAGGGAGAACGAAAAGGGACCCTCAGGAGTGGGGAGATCGTAAGGGGACCCCCAGGAGGGAGTGGGGAATGTGGGGAGAGCCCTGAGGGACCCTCAGGAGGGACAGGGGACACCGGAGAGAGCGCAAAGGGACCCTCAGGAGGGAGAGGGGAACCCGGGATGAGTGAAAAGGGACCCTCAGAAGGGAGAGGGTAACGCGGGGAGAGCCCTGAGGGACCCTCAGGAGGGACAGGGGACACCGGAGAGAGCGCAAAGGGACCCTCAGGAGGGAGAGGGGAACCCGGGATGAGTGAAAAGGGACCCTCAGAAGGGAGAGGGTAACGCGGGGAGAGCCCTGAGGGACCCTCAGGAGGGACAGGGGACACCGGAGAGAGCGCAAAGAGACCCTCAGAAGGGAGAGGGGAATGTAGGGAGAGGGCAAAGGGACCCTCGGGAGGGGGGAGATCGTAAAGGGACCCTCAGGAGGGAGTGGAAATGCGAGGAGAGGGCAAAGGGACCCTCAGGAGGGAGCGGGGAGCCCGGGAGAGCCCTGAGGGACCCTCATGAGGGAGCGGGCAGGCCTGGGGGAGCCCCGAGAGGGCACAGAGGGACCCCAGGAAGGAGCGGGAAGCGCTGGAGGGCCCCGAGGAGAGAAGGCAGAGGGAAGGGAGGACGCCGAGAGGGCACAGGGAGCCCCGGGGTGGGTGCGGGGAGCCCTGAGGGACCCCGGAAAGGCTCCGGGAGACGCGGCGCAACGGCGCTCCAGGCCCTGCCGCCGGTGCTCGGCACCGGGGCTCTGCCCGGCGCCGCGGCAGCGGGGCTCTGCAGCCTGTGTGCCCCTCGCTGGCTCCCTGCAGTGCCCCCCGCTCGCTCCCGCCGGTGCCCGCTCACCGCCGCAGCCCCGCGTTCAGCGCCGCCGCGCCGCCGCCATGTCTGCCGGGCCCGCGGGGCGCACAGGGACTACAGCTCCCGGCAGCCCTCGCGGCGGCGGACTACAACTCCCTGCGCCCCTGCGCGCGGCTGCAGCACCGCCGCGCCCCGTGATCCTTCCGCCGCGCGGTAACTCCCCCCGCCCCACGGCAAAGAGTCCCCCCGGACGGTGTCCCCGTGTCCCTGAGCCCCCCCACGGCCCGCAGGCACCTCCTGCTTACCCAAATGAGGCCCCTGAGGACGTGTCTTCACAGCCCAGAGCATCCCAAACCCTCCCGAGTCAGTGTCCCCCATGTCCCTGCACACCCCAAATCCCACGGGGACCCCCCCAGATCAGCGGCCCCACAGCCCCGTGCACCAAAAATTCACCCAGAACCCCCAGATCGGCGTCCCTGAAGGAGCCCCACCGCCCATTCACAAGATTGGGGTGTCCCAGGCAGAATCTGGGGGCAGAAGAGGTGGGGGGACCCTTTTGGCACCCCCCAAAAAACCCCAAACCAGGGGTGACAGCTGAGCCCCATATCAGTGTCACCACCAGCAGCGACACCGACACATCCCAAAACTCCCGACAGCCTCCAAAACCCAGGATCATCCCAAAAGCACAGGGCCAGGCAGGGCTGCACGTAGGTAGGTGTTATATTTCTGATAATAAATAAGCTTTTTAATAACACGGACATGGAACAGACACCCCCCTCCCCCAAAATACCGTCCATAAAACAGCCCCCCGCCCCCCTCCCCAACCCACAGGGTCCCCCAGGGCCAAGCAGCAGATGAGGGATGGGGGGAAGGGGCAGGGAACAGGATGAGGCCATGGATGAGTCCCATGATGTGCACCCCAAACCCCACAGGGACCCCCGGGACGGCGGCCCCGTGTCCCCCAGACCCCACAGGGACCATCCCAGGTGACATCCCTGAGGGTCTGAGCACCCCAAACCCCCCAGGGACCCCTCTGGGTTGATGTCCCCAGGTTCTGTGACCCCCAAGACCCCCAGAATTGATGTCCCCAGGGTCCTGTGTGCCCCAAACCCCACAGGGACCATCCCAGGTTGATGTCCCTGAGGGTCTGAGCACCCCAAACCCCCCAGGGACCCCCCTGGGTTGATGTCCCCAGGGTTTTGTGACCCCAAAGCCCCCCGGGGTTGATGTCCCCAGGGTCCTGTGCACCCCAAACCCCCCAGGGACCCCACAGGGTCGATGTCCTCAGGGTCTTGTGTGCCCCAAACCCCACAGGGACCCCCCTGGGTTGATCTCTCTAAGGGTCTGAGCACCCCAAACCCCACAGGGTTGATGTCCCTGAGGGTCTGAGCACCCCAAACCCCCAGGGACCCCCTCAGGGTTGATGTCCTCAGGGTCTTGAGCACCCCAAAACCCCCAGGGACCCCTCTGGGTTGATGTCCTTGAGGGTCTGAGCACCCCAAACCTCACAGGGACCCCCCAGGGTTGATGTCCCCAGGGTTTTGTGACCCCAAACCCCCCCAGGGTTGATGTCTCTGAGGGTCTGAGCACCCCAAACCCCCCAAGGACCCCCCTAGGGTTCATGTCCCCAGGGTTTTGTGACCCCAAACCCCCCAGGGACCCCTCTGGGTTGATGTCCCCAGGTTCTGTGACCCCGGACCCCCTCAGGGTTGATGTCCCCAGGGTCCTGTGTGCCCCAAACCTCACAGGGACCCCCCAGGGTTGATGTCCCCAGGGTTTTGTGACCCCAAACCCCCCAGGGTTGATCTCTCTGAGGGTCTGAGCACCCCAAACCCCACAGGGTCGATGTCCCCAGGGTCCTGTGCACATCAAACCCTCCAGGGACCCCTCTGGGTTGATGTTCCCATGGTCCTGTGTGCCCCAAACCTCACAGAGACCACCCCAGGTTGATGTCCCTGAGGGTCTGAGCACCCCAAACCCCCCAGGGACCCCCCTGGGTTGATCTCTCTAAGGGTCTGAGCACCCCAAACCCCACAGGGTTGATGTCCCTGAGGGTCTGAGCACCCCAAACCTCACAGGGACCCCCCAGGGTTGATGTCCCCAGGGTTTTGTGACCCCAAACCCCCCCAGGGTTGATGTCTCTGAGGGTCTGAGCACCCCAAACCCCCCAAGGACCCCCCTAGGGTTCATGTCCCCAGGGTTTTGTGACCCCAAACCCCCCAGGGACCCCTCTGGGTTGATCTCTCTGAGGGTCTGAGCACCCCAAACCCCCCAGGGACCCCCTCAGGGTTGAAAACCGGGTGAATCCACCCCCAGACCCCCCTCCCACGGGGGGCAGCCCCCCAGGCTGTGGGGCTGGCAGGGCAGCGGTGCCAGGCAAGGGCATCCCCCCTTTACTGGGGGGGGGACCCCAAACCCCTGCCCAGCCCCTCACCCCATTCCGGGGGGGTTCCCACAGGTGGGTGCGAGTCGGGGGCGGGTCGGGGGGGGTCCATTCCCTTGTCCCCCCCTCACATGACGGAGCAGCTTTTTGCCTTTTCCTTCTTGAAGGTGGAGGAGATGAGCTCGGAGCGGCTGGGGAGGTGCAGGAGCCGCTTGGAGAGGCCGCGGGGGGGGCTGCGGGGCGGCGCCGGGGGGGCCCTGCTCAGGCACAGCCCGGACACGCTCCGGAAGATGCTGTGCACGCTCTTCTCCGACGTGAACGCCGAGCACTCCAGGTAAGCCTCGGCTCCCAGCTGCCGGGCGGCCGCGCAGCCCTGCGGGAGCGGGGCGGCGCCGGGTGAGCGCCGGGAGCACCCCCAAACCCACCGGGACACCCCAAAAAACATCAGGACACCCCAAAATCCACCCCCACAAACACCAGAATATCCCAAATTGAGCCCCACGAACACCGGGACAGCCCAAACCCACCAGGACACCCCAAAGTGACCCCTGTGCAAACACCAGGATCCCCCCAAAACCCACCCCACACCAGACCACTGGGACACCCCAAAAACACCCCCCAAAAGCATCGGGACCCCCCCAAACCCACCCCTATATCAGACCACCGGGACACCCCAAAAATCACACCCACAACCACTGGGACACCCCAAATCCACCCCCAAAAACACCCCAAAAATCACCCCCTGCAAACACCAGGACACCGCAAACCCACCAAGACATCAGACCACAGGAACTCCCCAAAAATCACACCCACAACCACTGGGACACCCCAAAACACCAGGACACACCAAACTGACCTCCAAAAAACACCAGGACACCCCAAAAATCACCCCCCAAAATCACCAGGACACTGCAAACTGAGCCCTGGTGCAAACATCAGGGTCCCCCCAAAACCCACCCCCATATCAAACCACAGGGACATCCCAAAAATCACCGGCACAACCATCAGGACACCCCAAATCCATCCCCAAAACCACCGGGACACCCCCAAAAACACCGGGGCAGCGCCGAGTGAGCGCCGGGAACACCGGGACACCCTGAAATTTACCCCCAAAACCACCGGGACACCCCAAAATATACCAGGACACCCCGAAATACATCCCCCAAACCCACCGGGACACCCCCAAAAACACCGGGACACCCCAAAAATCACCCCCTTCAAACACCAGGATCCCCCAAAACCATATCAGACCACCAGGACACCCCAAAAATCACCCCCACAACCACCAGGACACCTTAAACTGACCCAAAAAAATACTGGAACACCCCAAAAATCACTCCCTGCAAACACCAGGATACCGCAAACCTGCTCCCCTGCAAACAGCAGGACCCCACCAAACCCACCGGGACACCCCCAAACCCACCGGGGCAGCGCTGGGTGAGCTCTGGGAACACCGAGATACCCCTAAATATACCAGGACACTCCCAAACCCACCCCCAAAAACACCGGGACACCCCGGAATACACCCCCAAAAACACCGGGGCAGCACGGAGTGAGCGCCAGGAACACCCCCAAACCCACCGGGACACCCCGAAATCCACCGGGACACCCCCAGACCCACCGGGACAGCACAAAGTGTGCCCCAGAAATACTAAGACACCCTGAAATCCAGCCCCCAGAAACACCAGGACACCCCCAAACCCACTGAGACAGCACAGAGTGAGCCCCACAAACACCGGGACAGCACAAAGTGAGCCCCAGGAACACCGGGACACCCCTAAATCCACCCCCAGAAATACTGGGACACCTTGAAATCCACTGAGACAGCACAAAGTGGGCCCCAAACCCACTGGGACAACCCCGAATCCACCCCCACAAACACCAGGACATCCTGAAATCCATCCCCAGAAACCCCAGGATATCCCAAAGTGAGCCCCAAACCCACTGGGACAGCCCAAACACACCATTGTGACAGCCCAAAGTGAGTCCCACAAACACCAGGACACCCCAAAATCCACCCCCACAAACACCAGGACACCTTAAACTGACCCAAAAAAATACTGGAACACCCCAAAAATCACTCCCTGCAAACACCAGGATACCACAAACCTGCTCCCCTGCAAACACCAGGACCCCACCAAACCCACCCCCCCGTCAGACCACAGGGACACCCCAAAAATCACCCCCGAAAACACTGGGACACCCCAAAAATCACACCTACAACCACTGGGACACCCCAAATCCACCGGGACACCCCAAAAATCACCCCCTGCAAACACCAGGACACCCCAAAGTGAGCCCTGTGCAAACACCAGGATGCCCCCCAAACCCACCCCACACCAGACCACAGGACACCCCAATCCCACCCCCCACAAGCACCGGGGCCCCCCCAAACCCAGCGGGCCCCCCCAGACCTGCTCGTAGGAGATGGGCGCCTGTTTCTGGTGCGAGAGCTCCAGCAGCGTGCTCAGGTCTGTCCTCAGGTCCGTCTTGCAGCCGATGAGCAGCACCCGCGTGTTGGGGCAATAATCCAGGATTTCTGTCTTCCACTGAGGGGTCAGGGCAGCGCTCAGGGACAGGGGGAGCCCGAAAGCCTCTCCCTGTCACCCCACGGGGGTGGTGTGCCAGCCCTGAGCCCACAGGGATACACCCAGGACAGTGTCCCCATGTCCCTAAGACCCCAAACCCCACAGAGATACCCCCAGGACAGTGTCCCCATGTCCCTGAACCCCCCAGACCCCACAAAGATATCCCCTGAGCCCCCCAAACCCCACAGAGATACCCCCAGGACAGTATCCTAACATCCCTGAGCCCCTCAGACCCCACAGAGATACCCCCAGGACACAGTCCCCATGTCCCTTAACACCCCAGACCTCACAGAGACACCCCCAGGAACCCCTCAAACCCCACAGGGATACCCCCAGGACAGTGTCCCCACATCCCTGAATGCTGCAGACCCCACAGAGATACCCCAGGACAGAGTCCCTATGTCCCTGAGCCCCCCCAAACCCCTCAGAGACACCCCCAGGACAGACTCCCAACATCCCTGAGTCCCCCCAAACCCCTCAGAGATATTCCCAGGACAGTGTTCCTATGTCCCTGAACCCCCCAGACCCCACAAAGATACCCCCAGGAGCACCCCAAACCCCTCAGAGATACCCCCAGAACACTGTCCCCGTGTCCCTGACCCCCACAGGGATACCCCCAGGACAGTGTCCCCACATCCCTGAGCCCCCCAGACCCCACAGAGATACCCCCAGGACCCCCCAAACCCCACAGAGATACCCCCAGGACAGTGTCCTTGCATCCCTGAACACCCCAAACCCCACAGAGATACCCTCAGGACAGTGCCCCCATGTCCCTGAGTCCCCCAAACCCCACAGGGACCCCAATGCATGGGTGTCCCCGCTTCCTTGAGCCCCCCAAACCCCACAGAAACACCCCCAGGACACTGTCCCCAGATCTCTGAGCCTCCCAAACCCCACAGGGACTCCTCTGTTTCAGTCTCCTTGTGTCTGTGAGGCCCCCAAACCCCACAGGGACTTCCCTGCATGGGTGTCCCCACATCCGTGAGCCCCCAGACCTCACAGAGATACCCCCAGGAGCCCCCCAAACCCTACAAGGACCCCCCTGTCTCAGTCTCCTTGTGTCCCTGAATCCCACAAACCCCACGAGGACTCCCCTGCAAGGGTGTCCCCACATCCTTGAGCCCCCCAAACCCCATGGGGACTCCCCTGCAAGGGTGTCCCCACATCTCTGAGACCCCCAAACCCCACAGGGACCCCCCAGGACAGTGTCCCCACATCTCTGAGACCCCCAAACCCCACAAGAACTCCTCAGGGCAGTGTCCCCACATCCTTGAGCCCCCCCAAACCCCACGGAGACTCCCCTGTCGCAGTCTCCTTGTGTCCCTGAGCCCCCCAAACCTCACAGGGACACCCCCCAGACTGGTGTCCCTGCATCCCCGAGCCCCCCAACCCCCCCTGGGGACACCATCCGGGGGTCTGAGCCCCCTCCCCACCTTCTTGGCCGCGCTGTCGAGGGTCTCGGGGCGGCTGACGTCGAAGCAGAGCAGGACGGCGTCCGAGTCGCTGTAGCACAGGGGCCGCACGTTGTCATAGTAGGGAGAGCCTGGGGGAAAGGGGGGTCACCGCTCAGCCCCCCACCCCCGGGACACGGGAAAGGGGGTCTGGCAAAGGGACACAGCCCCCCGTCCTGCCCGGGGGGGGGGCACGGATCTAGAGAGCCCCAAAAGGGACAGAGCTCCTAACACAGACACAGAACCCCAAAAGGGACACAGCCCCCCGCCCTGCCCGGGGTGGGGGCACGGATCTAGAGAGCCCCAAAAGGAGACAGAGCACCCCAAAAGGGACAGAGCTCCTAAAACAGACACAGAACCCCAAAAGGGACACAGCCCTATTCCTGCTTGGAGTGGGGGCACGGCTCTAGAGACCACAAAAGGTGACAGAGCTCCTAAAACAGACACAGAACCCCAAAAGGGACACAGCCCTATTCCTGCTTGGAGTGGGGACACGGCTCTAGAGACCACAAAAGGTGACAGAGCTCCTAAAACAGACACAGAACCCCAAAAGGAACACAGCCCCCTGTCCTGCCCGAGGTGGGGGCATGGATTTAGAGACCCCCAAAAGGGACAGAGCGCCTAAAACAGACACAGAACCCTAAAAGGAACACAGCCCCCCAAAAGGGGCAGAGCCCCATTCCTGTCCGGGGTGGGGACACAACTCTAGAGACCCCAAAAGGGACACAGCCCCCCGTCCTGCCCGGGGTGGGGGCACGGATCTAGAGACACCAAAAAGGGACAGAGCCCCATTCCTGCCCAGGGTGGGGGCACAGATCTAGAGACCCCCAAAGGGGACACAGTCCCATTCCTGTCCTGAGTGGGAGCATGGCTCAAGAAACCCCCAAAAGGCACAGAGCCCCCCAAAACAGACATAGCCCCCTCCCCAAACAGACACAGCCCTATTCCTGTCTGGGGTGAGGGCACGGCTCTAGAGCCCCCCAAAAGGGACACAGCCCCCCATCCTGCCCGGGGTGGGGGCACGGATTTAGAGAGCCCCAAAAGGGGACAGAGCTCCCCAAAAGGGAAAGAGCCCCTAAAACAGAGACAGCCCCCGTCCTGACTAGAGTGGGGGCACGGCTCTAGAGAGTCCCAAAAGGGACACAGCTCCCCAAAAGGGACAGAGCCCCCCAAAACAGACACAGCCCCATTCCTGTCTGGGGTGAGGGCACGGCTCTAGAGCCCCCCAAAAGGGACACAGCCCCCCATCCTGCCCGGGGTGGGGGCACGGCTCTAGAGAACCCAAAAGGGACAGAACCCCCCCAAAACAGACACAGCTCCCCTCCTGCTCAGGGTGGTGCCTCACAGCTCTAGAAAACCCCAAGAATGACACAGGCACAGCTCCAGAGCACCCCAAAACAGACACAGCCCCTAAAGCAGACACAGCCCCATTCCTGCCCAGGTGGGGACACAGCTCTAGAGACCCAAAAAGGGACACAGCCCCCCAAAAAGGGACACAGCCCCATTCCTGCCCGGGATGGGGACATGGCTTTAGAGACCCCAAAAGGGACAGAGCTCCTAAAACAGACACAGAACTCCAAAAGGGACAAAGCCCCCTGGCCTGACTGGAGTGGGGGCACAGATCTAGAGACCCCCAAAAGGGACAGAACCCCCCCTAAAACAGACACAGTCCCATTCCTGCTTGGGCTGGGGGCACAGCTTAGTGACCCCCAAAAGGGACAGAGCCCCATTCCTGCTTGGGGTAGGGACAAAGGTGTAGAGACCTCAAAAGACACAGACCCTCATTCAGCCTGGAGTGGGGACACAGCTCTAGAGACCCCAAAAGGGACAGAGCCCCCCCAAAACAGACACAGGCCCACTCCTGTCCTGAGTGGGGGCATGGCTCTAGAGATTCCCAAAAGGGACAGAGCTCCTAAAACAGACACAGAACCCCTCCTGCTCAGGGTGGTGCCTCACAGCTCTAGAGACCCCCAAAAGGGACAGAGCCCCTAAAGCAGACACAGCCCCATTCCTGCCTGGGGTGGGGACACAGCTCTAGAGATCCCCAAGAGGGACAGAACCCCCCAAAAGGGACATAGGTCCCAAAAAGGGACAGAGCATCCTAAGACGGACACACAAACACACAGCTCTAGAGCCCCCAAAAAGGCACAGAGTCCCCAAAACGGACACAGCTCCCCTCCTGCTCAGCGTGGTGGCTCACAGCTCTAGAGAAGCCCAAGAAGGACACAGGCGCACAGCTCCAGAGCCCCCCAAAAGGGGCAGAGCCCGCAAAAGGAACACAGCCCCATTCCTGCCCGGGGTGGGGACACAGCTCTAGAGATCCCCAAAAGGGACAGAATCCCCCAAAACAGACACAGCTCCCCAAAAGGCACAGAGCCCCCCAAAAGGGACACACGAACACACAGCTCTAGAGCCCCCCAAAAGGCACAGAGTCCCCAAAACAGACACAGCTCCCCAAAAGGCACAGATCCCCCAAAACAAACACAGCTCCCCTCCTGCTCAGCATGTGGCTCACAGCTCTAGAGACCCCCAAAGAACGACACAGGGGCTCAGCTCCAGAGCCCCCCAAAAGCGACACAGCCCCGCTGGGGCCGGGGGGACTGGCACAGCTCTGGAACCCCCCCAAAACGCCACCTCCGTCCCCGCAGCCCATCCGCGTCGCATCGCGCCTTCGCCAGGCAGCGGGAAATGGAGCCCGCGGTGTTTATGTAACAACCCCCCCACCCCCCGTTTTGGGGAGCCCCGGGAGCACCCAGGGGTGTCGGGGTACGGGGGGGGAGCCGGAGGAGGGGGGGCCACACGCTGCCACCCCCTCGGGGCAGGGGGGTGGGGGGGCTTTGGGGTGTCCCTCCCTTACCCCCCCCCCGGACCCCCAAAGGCCTCGGAGGGGTTTCGCAGCCCAGACGCTCCGTGCACGGAATAGCAAAGAGGCTGCGCCAGCGCATCGCCATGGCAACCGGGGACCGGCGGGGACCCCCCCCCGCCCGGGGGGACACTGCAGCACCGGGCAGGGCTGCCCCGAGCCCCCCAACTCTGCGGGGTGCCCGGGGAAGGGCAACACCGGCATGGGCCATCATCCGCCCCATTCACAGGCACGGGATCTGTGATCCCACCCGGGGGGGGGGTCAGCGGGGTGGGGATCCCCCCAAAAAAGGGGGTTCAGCCTCCCGTGACCCCCCCGGTGTGTCTGCACCGCCCACCGTGGGGTGGGTCCCTGGGGAGCAGCTGCGCCCCCACACCCACGGGTATGACCCTAAACCTGAACCCCCCCCTCGCCAGGCAGCGGGAAATGGAGCCCGCGGTGTTTATGTAACAACCCCCCCACCCCCCGTTTTGGGGAGCCCCGGGAGCACCCAGGGGTGTCGGGGTACGGGGGGGGAGCCGGAGGAGGGGGTGCCACACGCTGCCACCCCCTCGGGGACACGGAGCCACCAGCACCGCGCCCGGGACTGCGGGGGGCGCGGGAGGGGGGGTGCGGGAGGTCTGCGGGGTGCCCGGGGAAGGGCAACACCGGCATGGGCCATCATCCGCCCCATTCACAGGCACGGGATCTGTGATCCCACCCGGGGGGGGGGTCAGCGGTGTGGGGACCCCCCCAAAAAAGGGGGTTCAGCCTCCCGTGACCCCCCCGGTGTGTCTGCACCGCCCACCGTGGGGTGGGTCCCTGGGGAGCAGCTGCGCCCCCACACCCACGGGTATGACCCTAAACCTGAACCCCCCCCCAGCGCGGCCGCAGGGACCCCAAAACACCGCAGGGACCCCAAAAGACCCCCGGCCCCCCCAAAAGACCCCCGAGACCCCAACAGGGCCACCAAGCCCCCCCCAACCCGCGCTGCAGGTCCCCAAAACACCCTCGGGACGCCAAAACACCCCACTGCAGCGACCCCCCGATCACTGCAGCATCCCAACCACGACCCCCCAAAAACCCCAAACCGCCTCCCGGGGTACCCCACTCCCCCGGTACCGGGGCCCCCGCCAGCCCCCCAAACATGCACCGCGCGTCTCTCCCCGGTACCGGAGGTGTCCCAGAGGCTCAGTTCCACCCGCTGCTCCTCGCTGGCCAGACACGCCGTGTAGTTCTCAAACACGGTGGGCACGTACGTCTGCAACGGCACCGGCAGCGTCAGCGCCCGGTCCCGCTTTACCGGCGCCCGCTGCCGGTTCCCGGTACCGCTCTGGGCTCACCTCGGGGTAGCAATCCTTGGCCAGCACCTGCAGCATGGCCGTCTTGCCGCACTGCACGTCACCCACCAGCACCAGCTTGCACCGGGCCGGTGCGGCCGGTGCCGGCCTCCGCTCCCGCATGGCGGCGGCGCGCACGGAACCCCCGTGCTCGCACCCACCCACCGCCCTGCGCCCCGCCGCCGCAGCGTCCCTTTATACCACGCCGCCCGCAGGGCCCGCCCACGGCGGCGCCCGCCCGCCAATCAGCGCGGGGAATCCCGGAGCGCCGGCCAATAGCGAAGAGGGAGAAGCGGCGGGACACGCCCCTTGTGGGGGTGCGGGAGCGCTCTTGCCCGCCAGGGGGCGCCCGTGCGGGTCAGGGCGGAAGTGCCGCGAGGCCCCGCCCCCCAGCGGCCGTTGCCAGGAGACGCAGGGACGCGGAGCGGGGCCGGTACCGGGACCGGTACCGGGGCCTGGGGGTGCCTGGGGAGGGAGGTGGGGACGGGTCTGGGGGTCCCTGGAAGGGGAGAAGGGGTGAAAGGGCCTGGGGGTGCCTGGGGAGGGAGGTGGGGACGGGTCTGGGGGTCCCTGGAAGGGAGAGAAAAGCTTGGTGGGGTCTGGGGGTACCCCTAAGTGGAGGGGCAAGGAGCCTGGGGTAGCCTGAGGGAGGTGGGGGTGGGCAGAAGGTTGTGGGGTGCCCCATCGTGCGGGGGGCTGGGCAGGGGGAACAGGCCTTGGGGGACAGCAGAGGGGTCACCACGCACTCCCCGAGCCCTCCTGCCGTGCCCCCCGTGCAGCCATGGCGGGGTCCCGTCTCGCTGCCCCCACGGCGGCCGAGGCCGAGCTGCTGCTGCTGCAGAGACAAGCGCTGGCCGAGGAGGAGGCGGCCAAAGCCAAGAGGGCGCTGCTCACTCGCTTCCTGCAGGTCCAGAACCCCCTGATCCCCTCCAAACTGCACCTCACCTTTCCCCAGCCATATCCCCCCAGCAGGGCTGGCTGCCCCTGTTCTGCTGCACCCCCAAGCCCATTCCTGCCCGTCCCACCTCGCACGGCCCCTCCACAGGAGAAGTTGTCCCGGGAGGAGCAGAGCAGCAGGTGGGGTCTGCACAGGGTGCTCACGCTCTGGCGCTCGGCCCAGCGCAAGGCCAAGGACCAGGAGCTGCGCCAGGACATCGAGACCCTCAGCCAGACCTTCACTCGGGTCATGGACTGCAAGGACAGCGCCATTGAGGTGCCTGTGGGGCCGGCAGGGTGGAGCGGGCTGCCAGGGGACACGTGTGACACCCCCAAAAACTCCGCCAGGCGCTGGTGACGGAGCTGCAGGAAGCGGAGGAGCAGCAGAACCGAGCCCTGTGCAGCCACCTGGACCTCACAGACCAGCTCCTGCACCTCCAGCGCTGCCGCCTGGCCTGCCTGGAGCAGGGCTTCAGCGCCCAGGTGGGCGCCCTGAAGGCCGAGTTTGAGGCTGAGAGGTGTGGAACTTCAGGGGGAGAAGGGGAACGGGGCAGCAGTGGCACTCGTGGGGTGTCCTGGGACGGAGCTGAGCCTCCCCCGGCCTCGTGGGGAGCCCTGCAGTGCCTTTGTCAGGGGGGAAATGTCTTGGCACTGCTTTGTGTCCCCACAGAAAGGCCATGCTGCAGCAGCAGGACTGGGAAAGCCGGGTCCTGCAGGACATGGCGCTGGCCATGGAGCAGGACCACGACAGGAACGAGCAGGAGGCTTTGCTGAACTTCCAGAGCGCCCGGGACGACATCAAAAACAAGGCAAGGGGGCACGGCGGGGGCACGGAGGGGCTGGCAAGGGTGGCAGGGGACGCCCAGGTGTGACCTGCGTGTCCCCAGTGCTGGCAGGATCAGCACTACAGCAAGCTGCAGCTGGTGGCCAGGCTGGAGGGGCTGTGGGAGCAGATCCAGACAGCACGGAGGAGCTACAGCCAGGCCACGGAGAAGAAGAAGGTGGAGTTTGAGGAGCTCAAGAGGAAGTGTGAGAGGACTTCCTGCGAGATTAACGCCCAGGCGAAGAAGCTGGAGAAGCTCCAGGTTTTGGCAGGGCGCTGGGTGGTCCTGGGAGTGGGGTCACCCTCGTTTCCCTCACTCATTTTTCCATGGAATCATGGAATTGTTGAGGTTGGGAAAGGCTCTGAGAGCCGTAAAGCCCAACGTGGCACGGGCAAGGAGGTGACAACAGGCCAGGCTAAGCAGGGGCCCCCCAAAAGTTTGTGGGGGAGTGCCTGAGCCATGGAATCATGGAATTATTGAGGTTGGAAAAACCTCCAAGACCATCAAGCCCAACCATTCTCTCAGCACTGCCAGGGCCACCACTAAACCACGTCCCCAGGGGCCACATCCACGTGGTTTCTGAGCCCTTCCAGGGACTGTGCCTTCACCACCACCCTGAACAGCCCATCCCAAAGCTGGCCCACGGGCAGCCCTGGCAGACAGGAACCAGGAGCTGAGGAAGCTCCTCCAGCAGTACCTGGCAGGGGCTACAATCAACCAGAAGGTGCCCAAAGACCCCCACCCCCTCCTTGCCACCAAGAAAAAGCCTCACCCCCAGAAATGAGCCCAACATTTCTGGGGGTGCCACGCTCAGGGACACTGGGCATGGTGCAGCCTAGGAACCAGGAGCTGAGGAAGCTCCTCCAGCAGTACCTGGCAGGGGCTACAATCAACCAGAAGGTGCCCAAAGACCCCCACCCCCTCCTTGCCACCAAGAAAAAGCCTCACCCCCAGAAATGAGCCCAACATTGTGGGGGAGCCACGCTCAGGGACGCTGGGCATGGTGCAGCCCGAGAGCCTCTGGGGAGGGGTCAACCACCAGGACCCCTTTCCTGGCCCCACCAGCTCCAGCTGAGGCTCCCTGGCAGATCTGCCTGCTGTTTGGGGACTCAGGGATTGTCATTTCCTGGATATGCCTTAAAAGAGCAAAACTGCCTGAAAATGTGGTCTTGTTTCTGGGATTCATTGAGTCTGTAACCTCCTGCTCAGGTCTGACAGGACCCATCAAAGCCCTGGGGCAGGCAGGGAGGGGAGCTGAGGGGGGCACAGCCCCTTCCCACCGCCCTGTGCCCATCACTGTCTCAGGAAGAGCAGCCACAGATGCCGAGGGGAAAGTTTTATTTCTTTTTGGCTTTGTTCCTCTTCTCCTCCTTCTGCTTTTTCTTGGAGAGCTTGGGGCTGCTGGCCTTGCGGTACAGGTGGAAGCCGATGAGCCCCAGCAGCGCTGGCACCAGCCCCAGGCACAGCAGTGGCACCACCTCGTTCACCACCTTCTGCCAGTAACTGGCCCGGGACAAGCCCACCAGCTCCACCTCGAAGCGCAGCACGGCGTCACCTGCAAGGGGGGCACAGCCTGAGTGGGGACCCCACAGAGACCCCCAGGGGGACCCTGAGGGCTGCACTCACCTGGGATGGTTGGGGGGGAGCCCCGCTTGCCGTAGGCTAAGTGAGGGGGAATGATGGCTCTGCGCTTCTCCCTGCCACAGTGAGAGCGTTGGTGCCACAAAGTGGTGGGGACACTGTGGGGGGGGGGACACTGCCCACCCTCGTGTCCCCCATCCACGCTTACCCCACACACATGTCCAGCAGACTCTGCTCCAGACCTGTGACAGAGCGGGGTGAGGGTGGGTGGGCTGGTGGGGTTACCCTGGTGAGCCCCCAGCCCGCTCCCCCTGAGCCCCTCACTCACCAGGGATGACTTGGTGCTTGCCCAGCTCCACCTGCAGGGGGTCCCGGCTCAGTGAGGAGTCGATGATCCGGCCATCCTCCAGGCTGCCCTGTGGGGGGCACGGCCGCGGTCACTGCCACGGGCACCCTTGGGTGGCACCTTCTCCATGTGGCTGCCAGCGTGTTCCCAGTGCTGCTCTGGTGCTGATCCCAGTCCCTGCGGCCTCCCTGTGCCATCCCTGTGCTGATCCCAGTCCCTGTGCCATCCCTGTGCTGATCCCAATCCCTGTGCCACCCCTGTGCCATCCCTGTGCTGATCCCAGTCCCTGTGCCATCCCTGTGCTGATCCCAGTCCCTGTGCCATCCCTGTGTTGATCCCAGTCCCTGCAGCCCCCCTGTGCCATCCCTGTGCTGATCCCAGTCCCTGTGCCA